ATGGATTTTGAGTGTCGATATGTATTTGTGCTATGCATGTCATGTTGCTGTATTTTTAACCACTGTAGACTGTGTGATTGGTACATCACTGTACATGCATGTATAATGTGTACATGTACATAAATACAGTGTCTTTTGTTATCGATTCATTCACATCAGGATCACATCCATTATGACCACACCTTCATTTGATAATAATAGGTGTGGTTTATTGATTATAATGCTCTTTAAAATTGTCTTGGTTATATAAAATTGCTAACTTATAGCATGACGTTAGACCTGGTGCTGGAATATCATAATGATTACTGTGTTTTCAGCATTGTGTACATTTTTAGCTTTGTGTATGTTTTTCATTATTAAATTTTGCTTTGATTCTGGCCTTGTGCAAGCATGAAGAACTGTACAGCCTTTTGTACATATTGTATGCCAGACACTGGCAGGTTTGATTTTTGTGTACTAACCAAATGTATCGCAATGAACAGCACATGTTAAGCCATAGTTTTATATACAGTAGTATTATTTTAGTTCATCTGTTTTTGTAATTAAATAGATTTAATTTGGCTAAACTATAAAAAAATTAAATTAATGTTGGCTAAGTGAGGACATATACTTGAGGCTTGCCCCTAACTCTTATTCCAGTTGTATGGTTTTATTACTGAAGAGGACTTTAAGCTTCCAGAAGTCACTTGCGTGAGGTCCCTGGTTGAAATCCCGCTGTTGGCTCAAGTTTTTATTAATTTTTTTAATTTTTCGAGGCCCAAATGTCATTATAAGAAATGGGCCCCAGGCTTCTATTTGAGGAAATATAGTACATGCATTATGCATCAGAAAAAATTATAAAAATGGAGGATTTTCGCCTTTTCATTTTTGACAAAATTTTTTGATCAACTTTTAAAAAGATTTGTAAAAAAATTTAATTTGACCAGATTTAGCTTAAATTTGATACACAACATAAGAACATGTATATGTTCCAGAAAAAATTATAAAAGTGGAGAATTTTATTCTTTTTATTTTTAACAAAAACTTGGCCAATTTTGTCCAATTTTTTAATGACTTTAAAAATTCAGAAAATATCCAAATACAATCAGAATTAGTTTAAACTTTCTACACAACATAAAAACATGTATCAGAAAACATTATACAAATTGAAATTCCTCTCCTAGCATTTTTTGTTGAAATACACTTACAGGGTATTTCAACAGGGTCTTTGGCCTAATTCTCAAGCAACTTGGCAATTCATTGACAAGAAGCTACATGAGCACTATAGTGACTATACCAAAATCCTTTGGGAAACCACGCCTCAATGACTAGCCAGAGAGTATGAGCAAATTTCGGATATAAATTTTTAGCTATGGGCATTCAAAACAATTGTGCCAAAATGTCTAGAAATATTTATGAATATTATATACATGTACATGTATATGTATATACACCGTAAATGTAATTGCATTAATGTTCTCATGTGATGCAGAAAAGTTGAGTCAAGTACATGTATAATAATAATAATACCATATAAGTGAGTTTTTTAGGGTTACAAATTTTGCAAATTTCACAGATTCCCTCCTGATTTGCAAAAATAAAATCCGTAAAAATCAATTTAATACGGTATCCTCATGGCACACGTGGTAGATTTTGCATATTAAAATCTGCGAATTGGAATTTTAGCAGATTTCACAAAATATAATTCCCTCAAAAAACCACTTATATGGTATATTCTGATTACAATTTGATTCTTTAAGACAACAGTAATATGCCCTGTTGGTAGATTAAATTATTTGTCATGATTAAGAATTCCAGTACTTTTTTGCTTCAAAAGTTTGTAATTTGTGAAATAGAATTCTGTCAAAATTTGAGATGCTACACCCAAATTTATGAACAATTTTAGCTGTTTGTAGTCATCTTATCTATGGGCATTGAAATTTTTGCAATCGTAATGTTTTTTATATCCACAAATGTAGTGCTGATATATAGCCCCAATTTTTTTTGAGCAAATACCGTATAGTGGGAAATTTTTAGAGGGAGTTAAATTTGGCAAATTGCTAAACTTTGGTGATTGGCGAATTAGTGGCCACGTGCCATTAAGCATGTGTATA